GTGGAGAGGTGGAGAAAGAAGAAATTAATTAATTGACACAAAATATAGGTAGATAGTAGGAATAATGTCTAGCGATTCTCTTCCACTAGGGAAGTCATAAAATCCAAAATCCCTTTTCCCCAAAGCCAGCCATAAAAATTAACGTTATTATTCTAACTTCCCTCCACCTTTCTGTGTAAACACAGGCCACAAGAAAATTATCTGACCATTACATGAAAATATAAAATATTACATATATTTTGAATTAAAACATTTAAAACAGAAAAAATACAATATATTTTTAAAAATACATGTACGCACTACCTAGATGTAACAATTTTTAGCACATCACTCATAACACCTATCCCACAAAAAGACTGATATGAAACAAATCTCAGAAAACATATTCCAACTTGTATCTTTTAGTATATAAATAAAATTTTGTTTTAGAAATTTGACACATTATGATTGAAAGAAAAATATATATTGAGAGCTTGCTAGTTTCCTAGATAAATATTTGTGTGGGTGTTTCATTCTTTGTCAACAACACCAGTGCCACAGGTTCAAGCACAAAACTGGGTAGCCGTTTTCGCTGGTGCCCAGAATGCTTGTGAGACAGAACTACACATTCCCCTGAAAAAAGGGGGTGCAAGGCAGGCAATCTAGTGATCTGGCTTGGCTGGTCTCACTCCCAAAAAGTCCAGCAAGCTGAAACCCACTGACTTGAGATTTTCACAGAAGCAAAGCAGTTTGAGCTTGACCTGGGATGGTCGAGCTGAGTGGGAGAATGGGGTGTCTGCCATTACTGAGGCAGTCTGCCATTACCAAGGCAGTCTGCCATTACTGAGGCATTTCTAACCTTGCCTGTGTAAACAAAATCACAAGGAAGTTTACACAGCAGCATAGCAGAGACCTCAGCAGCTCAGCAAGTCTTCTGCAGGGAGAATGTGACCAGACTCCCTCCTTGCTAGGCAGGGCACCTCTGAAAAAGAGTAGCAGCTCGTCAGGGACTTAATAAAGCCCTAACTTCCCAGGACAGAGCACCTGGGAAAAGGGGTGGTTGTGAGTTTTACTTCAGCAGACTTAAACATCCCTGTCCAGCAGCTCTAAAGGGAGCAACAGAGCTCCCACCACAGCACTTGAGCTCTGATAAGGTACAGACTGCCTCCTTAAGTGGCTCCATGACCCCCATATATCATAAAAGCCACCTCAAACAGGAGAGTTCCGGCTGACATCTAGTGGGTACCCTACTGGGATGAAGCTACCAGAGGAAGGAACAGGCAGCAATCCAGGCTGTTCTGCAGCCCCTGCAGGTGATCCTCAGGTGATCCTCAGGCAAGCAGATTCTGGAGTGGACCTCCAGCTGTCCTGCAGTGGAGGGGCCTGACTGTTAGAAGGAAAACTAAAAAAAAAAAAAAAAAAAAAAAAAAAACGAAAGAAATAGCTTCAACATCAACAGAAAGGATGCCCATTCAGAGACCTCATCTGAAAGTCACCAATCTCAAAGACCAAAGATAGATAAATCCACGAAGGTTGGAAGAAACCAGAGCAAAAAGGCCAAAATCACCAAAAACCAGAATGCCTCTTCTCCTCCAAGGGATCACAACTCTTCACCAGCAACAGAACAAAACTGGATGGAGAAGGAGTTTGACAAATTGGCAGAAGGAGGCAGGCTTCAGAAGGGGCATAGTAACAAACTTCTCTGAATTAAAGGAGCATGTTCTAACCCAATGCAAAGAAACTAAGAATCTTGAAAAAAGGTTAGATGAAATGTTAACTGGAATAACCAGCTTAGAGAAGAACATAAAGGACTTGATAGAGCTGAAAAACACAGCATGAGTACTTTGTGAAGCATACACAAGTGTCAATAGCTCACTCAATCAAACAGGAGAAAAGATATCAGAGATTGTAGATCAACTCAATGAAATAAAAGGAAAGGCAAGATTAGAGGAAAAAGAGTGAAAAGAAATGAACAAAACCTCTAAGAAATATGGGATTATATGAAAAAGACCTAATCTGCATTTGATCGGTGTACCTGAATGTCATCGGGAGAATGAAACCAAGCTGCAAAACACTCTTCAGGATATTATTCAGGAGAGTTTCCTCAACCTAGCAAGGGAAGCCAACATTTAAATTCAGGAAATACAGACACCACCACAAAGATATTCCTCAAGAAGAGTAACCCCAAGGCACATAATCATCAGGGTTGAAATGAAGGAAAAAATGCTAAGGGCATCCAGAGGGAAATGTTGGGTTACCTACAAAGGGAAGCCCATCAGACCCACAGCAGATCTCTCAACTTAAACCCTACAAACCAGAAGAGAATCAGGGCCAATATTTAACACCCTTAAAGAAAAGAACTTTCAATCCAGAATTTCATATCCAGCCAAACTAAGTTTCATATGTGAAGGAGAAATAAAATCCTTTATGGACACGCAATTGCTGAGAGATTTCATCACCCCCAAGCCTGCCTTGCAAGAGCTCCTCAAGGAAACACTAAACATGGAAAGGAACAATCAGTACAAGCCACTGCAAAAACATACCAAATGGTAAAGACCATTGACAGAATGAAATAACTACATCAACTAACAGACAAATCAACCAGCTAATATCAGAATTGTAGGATCAAATTCACATGTAACATTATTAACCTTAAATGTAAATGGTCTAAATGCCCCAATCAAAAGACACAACCTGGCAAATTGGATGAAGAATCAAGACCCATCGGTGTGCTGTTTCAGGAGACCCATCTCATATGCAAAGACACACATAGGCTTAAAATAAAGGAGTGGAGGAAGGTTTACCAAGCAAATGGAGAGGGAAAAAAAAGCAAGGGTTGCAATCCTCATCTCTGATAAACAGACTTTAATCCAGCAATGATCAAAAGGGACAAAGAAGGTCATTACATAATAGAAAAGGAATCAATGCAACAAGAAGAGCTAACTATCCTAAATATATATGTACCCAATATAGGAGCACCCAGATGCATAAATCAAGTTCTTAATGACCTAAAAAGTAACTTAGACTCCCATACAATAATAGTGGGATATGTTAACACTCTACTGTCAATATTAGACAAATCAATGAGACAGAAAATTAACAAGGATATCCAGGACTTGAATGCAGATCTGGACCAAGTGGATCTGATAGACATCTACAGAGCTCTTCTCCCCTAGATCCACAGAGTATATCTTCTTCTCAGCACCACATTGCCCTTACTCTAAAATTGACCAAATAATTGGAAGCAAAACACTCCTCAGTGAATGCAAAAGGACAGAAATCATAACAAACAGTCTCTCAGACCACAGCGCAATTAAATTAGAACTCAAAATTAAGAAACTCACTCAAAACTGCACAACCACATAAAAACTGAACAACCTGCTCCTGATTGACTACTGGATAAATACTGAAATGAAGACAGAACTAAAGATGTTTTTGGAAACCAGTGAGAATGAAGACACAACATACCAGAATCTCTGGGACACATTTAAAGCAGTGTCTAGAGGGAAATTTATAGCACTAAATGCCCACATGAGAAGCAAGGAAAGATATAAAATTGACACCCTAACATCGACACCTAACATAAGAACAAGATCAAACAAACAAATTAGAAAGTTAGCAGAAAACAAGAAATAACTAAGATCAAAGCAGAACTGAAGAAGATAGAGACATAAAATACCCTTCAAAAAATCAATGAATCCAGGAGCTGGTTTTTTGATAAGATCAATAAAATAGATAGGCAGCTAGCCAGACTAATTAAAAAAAGGGAGAAGAATTGAATAGATGTAATAAAAAATAATAAAGGGGATATCACCACCGATCCCACAGAAATAAAAACCACCATCAGAGATTGCTACAAACACTTCCATGCACATAAACCAGTAAATCGATAAGAAATCTATAAATTCCTGGAAACTTACACTCTCCCAAGACTGAATCAGGGAGAATTTGAATCCTCGAATAGATAATTTCAGGCCAATATCTATGATGAACATTGATGTGAAAATCTTCAATAAAATACTGGCAAACTGAATCCAACAGCACATCAAAAAATTTACCCATCACAATCAAGTAGCCTTCATCCCAGGGATGCAAGGCAGGTTCAACATATGCAAATCTATAAATGTAATCTATCACATAAACAGAACCAAAGACAAAAACCACATGATTATCTCAATAGATGCAGAGAAGGCCTTTGACAAATTTCAACAGCACTTTATGCTAGAAACTCTCAATAAACTAGGTATCGATGGAACATATCGCAAAAAAATAAAACCTATTTATGACAAACCCACAGCCAATAATATCATACTGAATGGACAGAAAAAACTGGAAGCATGATTCCCTTTTAAAACTGGCACAAGACAAGGGTGCCCTCTCTCAACACTCCTATTCAACATAGTATTGGAAATTCTGGCCAGAGCAATCAGGCAACAAAAAGAAATAAACGGTATTCAATTGACTCTATTTGCAGACGACGTGATTGTGTTTTAGAAGACCACATTGTCTCAGCCCAAAATCTCCTTAAGCTGAGAAGCAACTTTAGCAAAGTCTCAGGATACAAAATCAATGTACAAAAATCAGAAGCATTCCTATGCACCAATTACAGACAAACAGAGAGCCAAATCATGAGTGAACTCTCATTCACAATTGCTACAAAGAGAATAAAATACCTAGGAATACAACTAACAAGGGATGTGAAGAACCTCTTCAAGCAGAACTACAAACCACTGCTCAAGGAAATAAAAGAGGACACAAGCAGATGGAAAAACATTCCATGCTCATGGTTAGGAAGAATCAATATTGTACAAATGGCCATACTGCCCAAAGTAGTTTATGGACTCAATACTATCCCCATCAAGCTACCATTGACCTTACCAGAACCAGAAAAAAAAAAAAAAAAAAAAAAAAACACCTTAAACTTCATACAAAACCAAAAAAGAGCCCACGTAGTGAAGACACTCCTAAGCAAAAAAGAAAACAACAACAACAACAAAGCTGGAGGCATCACACTACCTGATTTCAAACTATGCTAAAATGCCACGGTAATGAAACCATCATGATACTGGTACCAAAACAAAGGTATAGACCAATGATACAGAACAGAGACCTTGGAAGTAATGCTACACATAAACAAAGGTATAGACCAATGGTACATAACAGAGACCTTGGAAGTAATGCTACACATCTACAACTGTCTGATCTTTGACAAACCTGACAAAAGCAATGGGGAAAGGATTCCCTATTTAATAAATGGTGCCTGGAAAACTGGCTAGCCATGTGAAGAAAGCTGAAACCAGACCCCTTCCTTAGACCTTATACAAAAATTAACTTTAGAAAGATTAAAGATTTAAACATAAGACCTAACACCATAAAAATTGTAGGAGAAAACCTAGGCATTACCATTAAGAACATAGACATAGGCAAGGACTTCATGACTAAATCACCAAAAGCAATGGCATAAAAGACAAAATAGACAAATGGGATCTAATTAAACTTAACAGCTTCTACACAGCACAAGAAACTATGATTAGAGTTAACCAGCAACCAACAGAATGGGAAAAAGTTTTGGCAACCTACGCATCTGACAAGGGGCTAATACGCAGAATCAACAAAGAACTTAAACAAATGTACAAGAAAAAAACAACCCCATCAAAAAGTGGGTGAAGTACATGAACAGACACTTTTTTTTCCCATTTATTTATTTTATTGCATTTTAGGTTTTGCAAAGGATATGAACAGGTACTTTACAAAAGAAGACATACATGAGGCCCACAAACCTATGAAAAAATGCTCATCATCACTGGTCATCAGGGAAATGCAAATCAAAACAACATTGAACAGACACTTTTCAAAAGACATTTATGCAGCCAATAAACATATGAAAAAATGCTCATCATCATTGGTCATTAGAGAAATGCAAATCAAAACTACATTGAGATACCATCTCACGCCAGTTAGAATGGCAATCATAAAAAAATCTGGAGACAATAGATGCTGGAGAGGATGTGGAAAAATAGGAACACTTCTACATTCTTGGTGGGAGTGAAAATAAATTCAACCATTGTGGAAGACCGTGTGGTGATTCCTCAAAAATCTAGAAATAGAAATACCATTTGACCCAGCAATCACATTACTGGGTATATACCCAAAAGATGATAAATTATTCTATTATGAAGACACATGCACCCGTATATTCATTGTGGCACTGTTTACAATAGCAAAGACCTGGAACCAACCCAGAAGCCCATCAATGATAAACTGGAGAAAGAAAATGTGGCACATATACACCACAGAATGCTATGCAGCCATAAAAAAGGATGAGTTCGTGTCCTTTACAGGGACATGGATGATGCTGGAAACCATCATTCTCAGCAAACTGACACAAGAACAGAAAATCAAACACTGTATGTTCTCACTCTTAAGTGGGAGTTGAACAAGAAGACCACATAGACACAGGTAGAGGAACATCACACACTGGAGCCTGTTGTGGGATGGGAGAGCTAAGGGAGGGATAGCAGGGTATGGGGGGATTGGGAAGGGATAACATTAAGAGAAATACCTAATGTGGCTGATGGGGGTATGGAGGCAGCAAATCACCATGGCATGTGTATACTTATGTAACAGTCCTGCACAATCTGTACATGTACCCTGGAACTTAAAGTATACTAATAAAAAAAGAAACATAATACCTCAAGTTGTAACAAAAATAGATACATTATTTCCAAAGGGATCATAGAATGCTATCTTTTTCCTTCTCAATACATTTATTTAAGATTAAAGTAAATATTTAAAAGCCACATACATTTGAGATAAAGCTTATTGAATATGATATATACTACATAAATTTTATAAAATGTCTGTGTTTTAGAATATGTCAAAAGTAATTTTCTTTTAAGGGACTCTAGATTTGCCTTTAAGTATTTTCCAAAACTGGTATGACAATTATGAACTATATCCTATTTTTTCTTGAACTCCCGACCTCAGGTGATCCGCCCTCCTTGGCCTCCAAAGTGCTTGGATTACAGGCGTGAGCCATCACGCCTGGCCTATATCCTATTTTATCAATATAGAGTAATGCATAATGAGTGTATTGTTATGTGAAAATTACAGCATTACAGGTTTTAATAACATGGAGAACAAGATAATATCATTGAAGGTGCTAGAAAATAACTTATATAAGTATTGAGAGAAAATGTAAAACTTTGAACCAATAGAAGAATATGTAAAATGTAAATGGTTCTACCCAACAAATTCTAAATACTCATCCAAACTATTAATCATTTTGAATTCCAAAGGATGCAATTATTCACACTGGTTGAGAAATATGGATATTGTCATTAGTGGTCAGACATTCCATTTTTCTTTAACTGAGATAAGTGTCCTTAAAGAAGTATGTGATGTATTAAAATTAAATCATCATAGAGGCATAAGAATTGAGTATTGTAAAACAATCCTCTCCTAAATTTTTCTTTGCTTTTTTTTCCTTTTAAAATTTGATGACCCTGAAACAATCACATCATCTAGTTCATCCTTCATGAACTTGTTTCTTTAATTATGTACTTACTCAACATAATATAGGGTCAAATATTTTTTATAATTTTCTGCCCTTCCTTGTCAATAAGCTCTTGTCACATAAACACTGGCTTACAAAGATCAGTTCTGTTAATTTTGAATCCAAGCCAGGTTTGTCATTCTAATATTTTAACTTTCATATGAGCTGTATTATCATTATAAAAATGTATCTAATTTTTTTTTATTTGGCAACCTCTGTGGTTGCCTAATAACCTCAATGTAATGCATAAGATGGTTACAAATTACGTTTTCATGATACCAAAAAGGTAAATTTAGGATTTCTCTTGATATAAAAATATCACTAAGATGTGAATTATTAAATTTGGGGAATCCACTTTTACTGATTGCCTTTTAATGGGATTCTAGTAGAATTGGGTTATCACATAAGTTCAAAGAACTGTGTTATGTAGGGTACTATGGGTCAACTTTAACTTTCTGGGAAGACAAATTTCTTTGGTATAAAAATCTGAAAAATAGATTCCTATGAATATACCTTTTATTTTCATCATAGAACTCTAAAATATAAAAATTGACATGACAAAGAATCTCTCCTTAACCAACTTTGGTTAGAGAGCTCTAATCTCTTTTCTTGTTGAGGCCTTGACCTTGGCTACATCCTTCCTGGGCCTGCATAGCCCAGTTTTAGTAAGAACCTTGCTAAGTAGGTTTACAGAGAATCCTGCCATGGTAGCTGAAGAACCTGTAAATCTTATTAAACTCTGTATCTGATAACTCCGCCTGCCTTCAACAAAAATTCTCTGATGTCAGTTGAGCAAGAATATCTCTATCCGTGGCATGTCCTTTAAGTAATGTTCAGCCCACCAACTTCCCCAAGCTGCTCCGCAGCCACAAATTCCCACTTTTTCTTGCATTCACGGTTAATCCCAATGTTTCTTTTCTATTGCTATAGCCTTGACAGCTATCACAGTAGTCCTGAATAAAGTCTTCTTTACTGCTTTACTTAACAAGTGTCAGATTTTTTAACATAAAGAGTCTTAATCAACAGCTAATGCATACACAGAAAAAGATATGTTGAATTATTATTTTATTATTATTATTACTAATAGTAGTAGTATTTAGTATTACCGCATTACACATGTACTGCTCAAAGGTTACTGAAGAACACATTGGTGAACAAAACCAAGCAAAATGCCCTCTGTAAAGAACGATAACAATTGATAAAAATGAAGCAATAACAAATATTTTAATTCCTGGCAAGTCCTGGGCACTGTGTTAAGAAAAAGGAAATATAAACGAGTAAAATAGCTCTGCTACTGCTCAAGATTCCTACATACTCAACTAAATGGGAGCATATTCGCATTTCAATTTTGTTTAATTATTATTGCTCATTTTCTTAATTTTAAGTTTTTCCGACTCCATTCTAAGGACGTAAAACATCATGAGTCTTACATATAATGGCTCAGTATGCCCTCCGTGTTAAGAACTCTTGCAATTGTCTGTATCTGCTTAGAGGTTAATTACTTTGGTACTTTATCTAAAGACAGGAAATTACCTATTTAGGGAAAAACCTTCCTACTTGGCTCTATTCTAACTTTTGCTCTTACTCTCAAACTCACTTTCTATCTCTTAGCCCTTAATGATTATAAAATACATTTCAGTAAAATCAGAGTTAAAATCAAAAAAAGAAACCTTTTACTTACAAAATTATTACTTCTGACAATAATATCTCTCAGTCTCAGACTTCTTACTTGAAAAAGGAAGAAAATTAATGCCTATCATATAGAATCATTTAAAACTAAATTAAGTAATATCCGTAAAAGGACCTAGATACATAATTAGGAAATAATAGGATTCCAAATAATAAAGTTCTCTTTTCTTGTTATGAAGTTAAATTACTTTAACCTGATGTCCTTATTTTCAGCTTTTTGGTTGTTTGTTTTTGTTTTTTTGTTTGAGATGGTGTATCCCTCGGTCACCCAGGCTGGAATGCAGTGGCATGATCGTGGATGACTGCAACCTCCTCCTCCAGGGTTCAAGTGATTCTTCTGCCTCAGCCTCCCAAGTAGCTGGAACTACAGGTGTGTGCCACCACACCTGGCTAATTTTTTGTATTTTTAGTAGAGACAGGGTTTCACTGTGTTAGCCAGGATAGTCTCTATCTCCTGACCTTGTGATCTGCCCGTCTGAGCCTCCCAAACAACTTTTCTAAAAATTTTCGCAATCTGCCCATCTGACAAAGAGCTACTATCCAGAATTTACAAAGAATTTAAACAAATTTATAAGAAAAAACAAACAACCCCATCAAAAAGTGGGCAAATGATATGAACAGACACTTCTCAAAAGAAGACATTTATGCAGCCAACAAACATGAATAAAAAGCTCATCATCACTGGTCACGAGAGAAATACAAATCAAAACCTCATTGAGATACCATCTCATGCCAGTTAGAATGACAATCATTAAAAAATCAGGAGACAACAGATGTTGGAGATAATGTGGAGAAATAGGAACACTTTTCACACTGTTGGTGGGAGTGCAAATTAATTTAATCATTGTGGAAAACAGTGGGGAGATTCCTCAAGGATCTAGAAATAGAAATTCCATTTGACCCAGGAATCTTATTACTGGGTGTATATCCAAAGGATTATAAATCATTCTGTTATAAAGACCCATGCACACATAT